CATAAACTATACCTATTATAGTTTATCCAAAACGTTTGTACTGAAAAAGGACTCTTTTATGAAAATACATTAGTGCTATGAATCCATAAACTATGCTTATTATAGCTTATTATATGTGTTCGAAATGAATGAAAAGTCTTATCATGAATGACTAAATTTCAGTTTATGATGATAAACTAACAAGCAATTACATTCAATATTTTGCACTTGTTGTTATACACTTTGCTCAACATAATACAAAGTGTTATGAAAGTTATAAGCTGTTAAATAGTTTTTAAGCTTTCTGTACTGTTTTAGAAAAATCATAGAAAAATCATACGAAGTCGAAAACTGAATCCGTAAATTCTGAGAGTTCATAAAACGTGTCTAGTTTATTCATAATTTTTATTATGATTTTTAGAAGTCTTTAACTTGTGTTAGAATGTTCATATTCACAGACTGGTCCGAATTTGTTTCTGAAATGATAGGTAGTTTTGTAAAAATTACCATAAATCGTAGAAAAATCGTATGGTGATGTGAAAGTAGTCATTTTAAAGGTATGAAACTGAACTATTTACACCTAATACAGTTTTGAAAACTAAAATGTTTAAGTTGACCAAAACAGTCCATGAATGGAGTTGAACGTTTCTGATGAAGGCTGTTAAATAAGTTTAGTTGTGTTCTTGGTGTTTTAACTTGTATTCCCCCCCTTAAAACTTAAGAAAAATATGAAAAGATAGGGGTATGAACTCACCTTGAGTGATTTCAGAAGATGGATGATGAAGAAGAGAAGTGTTCAACTCAAGAACACTTAGAAGATGCTTGGTGATTCGAAGATCTAACAACAAATATGACGATATTTGTGTAAGGAACTCATGATTTGAGTGGAGAAGTGTAAGGAAATCAAGTGTGGGAAGAAATTTACTTACCAAGAGTGGAAGAAAGCTTGATGATCAGCCTTGGAAGTCTCGAAATTGAGAGAGAAGAGTTGAGAGAAAAGTGTTTGATCTTTTGGTGGAAATGAGAGAAAATGAGTGAAGTGAGGAGAGAGGGTGTGTTTTCCGGCACTTAGGACGTGGGGAAGGCTGGAAAATGATGGAAAAGTACATTGACATGACATAGGTATGGTGGAAGGAGTGTGGCTAATCATGGAGTGGGTATGGGTGGTTGCTTGTGTCATAAACTAAAGAAAAGTCAACACCCCACCTCTTGTACTTCACCCACTCTTCTTGGATAAGATTTATCCCCAAAAACGTGATTAATTAATAAATATGGGGCCTTATATGTTAAAATAAAGTTTTTGGGTGAAAATCCCACGTTAAAATAATTAAAAACGGGCCTAAAATGCAAAACTAATCGAAAACCAGGAAGAAATGGCCTACCTGCGAGACCTCTCGGTTCTGGGCTGAGGTTCGGTCCCAATGCTGCTGGGCCCGAAGGCGAAGTGGAGCGAAAGAGGTAAGAAGCGAAGGTCCGTGCGAGGTTCGGTCTCGGCTGCGCAGGCTCGCTCCTCGGACAGAAGATCAAGTCCTGTCGGACCGAAGGTCAAGCCCTCTCGGGCCGAAGGTGGGAAGGGGAGAGTCTCGGTTCAGCATGATCAGGGGACCGAAATAGACCGAGCGCTCGGTCCATTTCGGTTGAGAGGGTTTCGGTTCTCAGGAGGTTCGGCTCTAAGAGGTTCGGCTCCTAAGAGGTTCGGCTCCTAAGAGGAGTTTCGGTTCCTAAGAGGAGTTTCGGCTCCTTAAGGCTGTTTTTCGCGTAGACTTCCGTTTTCGAGCTGTTTTCATCAAATTCGAGGGTCGGGATGCCCCAAATGATTATGAAAAGTTGAGAAACATTTTGAGAGAGATTTGGGAGAGATTTGTCATACTTGGAGAGATTTGGCATACTTATAGAGATTTGGGAGAGATTTGACGTTCTTGGAGAGATTTCTCATACGGAGAGAGATTTGGGAGAGATTTTACATTCTTGGAGAGATTTCTGATACAGAGAGAGATTTGGGAGAGATTTCACATTCTTGGAGAGATTTCTCATACAAAGAGAGATTTGGGTGAGATTCCACATACTTGGAGAGATTTGGGAGAGATTTGACATTCTTGGAGAGATTTCTCATACAAAGAGAGATTTGGGAGAGATTCCACATACTTGGAGAGATTTGGGAGAGATTTCACATTCTTGGAGAGATTTGTCTTACTTAGAGAGTTATGGGAGAGTTAGAGTGAAAGAGATTGGGAGAGACTTCTTTTTTGACCTTTTTGAGTGTTTGGCTTTGTAACGCAAGGTTTGTGAACCTCGTTAAGTCTTGTTATGATTGTTATATGCCCCCGAGGGTTAAGGAATAATGTTTTATCGAGTAGTTTCATCACTTGCCCTGATTAGGGTTTAGAATTTCCGAACACGTGAAAACTCTAACTGATACTTTGCGTTAAGATTGCGAGTTGTTCAATAAGAAATATAATGGAAACCCTAATATACAAGGGTTAGATGAGTTGACCGGTTTGACTCGTTGACTTCAGTTGACTTTGACTTGGCCAAAAATTGACGGTTGTCACAGTTTTGTAAACTTCCAAAACTTTTCATTTCTTATAACTTATGAATTAATTGAGTAATAAAAATGAAGACTCTTCATTTTTATAACTCTTGTGGTCTTTTAATGGCTTTAATAAAAGTGAGACTTTTGGTTTTCCATAACTTGAGGACAAGTTATGGACTCCATTAAAACACATTATGATCATGAATTAAACTACCATGAAGGTTACAAACAATTCCTATGATCATCTAATCTTCATAAGTTCAAGAACATGAATATGAACACTTTCAAGAATCAAAATTTACACTTAAAAACTTGTAATTTTGATAATTGCCATTGTCAATGGATTAGCATAAACATTACACCATCTAAAACAAGTTTTAAAACACCAAAACAGTTTAGGGTAATGTTTCTAGTCCATTTCCAGCAACAAATGTCGAAATTCTGAAAACTGCAGCCTCTACTCGTCGAGTGCAAGAACAGACTCGACGAGTAACTTGCATTTGTTCATGGACTCGTCGAGTCCCCCCATGGACTCGGCGAGTTCATACTAGCAGAAAACAGAAAAACGATTTTTTTCAAGCAGTTTGCACAAAAAACAACAAACAAGCCTAGTCTCTGATACCACTGATGGGTTTTGAGCATTCTAACACTTCCTAAGCGTACATGCAACCCTAATAACCTTGGATCTATGTTTGTCTAATTATCATGCAAAGTTGAATTCCAAGGTTATATTCCTATCTAGCATACATGGGGAACATTTTTAACTTGAATGAAAGATAGAATAACTTACCTTGTTGTTAATTATGATCCTTGAAACCTTGTGAGCCTAGCACCCCAAGTGTGATGCCTCAAATGCTTCACACAACACCAAATGCAAAGGAGTAAACTTTGAGAGAATCTTACACTTGCAAAATCGGCTCTAGCCCTCTTGTTTCTTAGTGTCACCGATTTTGGGGAGAACACCTTTGTTTATATAGTGTGTTGCATTAGGTAAACCCTAATGTAACATGGCTCTTCATTTCATGATCCATGGGTTAACTACATGGAGCATCCTATGGGTGGAACCCAACTTGATAATCCATGGAGCCTCTTAGCCCACTATATAAGATATGGAAGATTTACATAATCTACCCATATATTTAATTAGTTATCTTTTGATCACTTAATTAATTCTAAATTAATTCTTGATCAAACTAATTAAATAATATTATTAATATATTAGAACTTATAATATATTAATAAACCATAAGTGTTATTTCTCTCATTTTAGTTTATCCAATTGCATGGTGCCATGCAACCCAAATGGACCATGCCGGGTCGGGTCAAGTACATACCAGAAATAGTTATGGACTTAGACACCTTATCCAACACATGGCTCATGGCTTAAGGCTCAAGGTTTAAGGCTTAGGGCTCATGCCTTATGGTTTATGGTTTATGAATTATAGATTGGTGCTTTGGGTTCAAGGCTTATGGTTTATGGCTTAGGGCGTAGTGGTTATAGGTCAAGGCTTAGGGCACATTGCTTATGGTTTATGGCTTATATAACTTATGACTTATGATTCAAGGCTTAGGGTTTAAGGCATATGGCTTTTGGTTTAGGGATTATGTCTTATGACTCAGCGTTTGATATGTAGGACTAATGGATAAGGACTTTTAGCTCATGACTACACCTGTACCATCACCTTTATATCTACACCCATACCCCTAAACATATATACTTGTACACTTATTTCCACAAACTCATAACTTATTATGTATGACTTAGGGATTTAGAGTTATGTGTTAAGGTTTATGGCATAGGTTTTATGGCTTAAGGCTCAAATTTAATCTATTTTTCCATTATTGTCCATATTTTTTTTGGCATCCGAAATGTATAATCACAAAAAAACATCCTTGTGTATCATAATATTGCATTGGTCTCAAAAAACTGTCACACACACACACACACACACATATATATATATATATATATATATATATATATATATATATATATATATATATATATATATATATATATATATATATATATATATGTATTAAACAACATTATTCAAATGAAAATTTCAATTTCGCAAAAAAAAGATTTTATTTTGAATTTCACTTTTACGTACCCCAAATTTAAACTCCCTCCCAAATATTAATTCATTTTATCTTTATCTTCTATTAATTGTTTTTTTTTCAGTGTCTTCCCAAATATTAAGTCTAGGGCTCCATTCTCTCATATCTGTTTCTCCGCTTAAGAATCCCTCAAATTCAGCTTTTGCACTACGATCTTCGCCGCCGGCCATGCGTTCTCGACTCTGAAGTGTATTTTCCTAAAAGGCGTTCCGTCTATTTCTTTAGTTCCCGATTGGTCTTTGAATGAGTTTATTTTGGCCGCTGAACGAGATTTTATAGCTTTTCCCTCCCAATTTCTTGTTTGATCGGCGCACGAGGTGACTATCTAGGATCCACCGATAGAGTTAGGTCGTCTATCACCATAACCATGAGAGCTACTCGCTCTATCGGCGAGTTCTCGTCCGACCGATGGGAGGTGGGTCCATCGATTTGGTGTTCCGCATTCAAGGTTGTTGGTATGAATTCATAATTCCCCTTCAATCCTTCATCACACATTTAACCCTAGATCTTCGGATTCTATAACTATTAGGGTTCAATTGATCGAGAAGCGTCATTTAACTCTTCATTTTTCCTGATCTTGGGTTGATTTATGTTTGGAATTTTGTTAATTTTCGAATTAGGTTCAACTTTCCTCTTGCCGAGACTTTTGCGTCCCTCCCTTCAGGTTTGTCGCCACCCTCTAATTTGAACCGCCTCCGTCGCCGGCTTCCCCTCTACCTCCGATAACTTCTCCATTCACGCGTCCGCGTCCTCCAACTTCTGCAGGTAAGGTTTCCATTTCCTTTTCATCTGAAAATCGCGTTCTAGATGCGTAAATGTAGTTCTTCTAGAACTGTTTGAGGCTGAAATCGAGTTCCAGATGTGTATATGTAGTTTTTTTTGTCTTTTCTTTTTCCTCTGAAAATCGAGTCCTTGGTCTATGGTAATCCATTGGTCTAAGTAAAATATTTCTTTAACTTTGACCAAAAAAACATTCAAAATCCATATCAGATCACAAAGTTATTTATTCCATTCATCATGTTTTTGTTTATTTTCTTTGAAGTCAAGATTCAAGATCTAGGGGTAATACTTCATATCATAGATAAAGTTGACTCTTTAAACTATGTTTGACTATCCGGATCAACTTCTTGATGTACTCAAAACCACCAGATATTTGGAAAGTTAGAAACAAGGCTTTCTTTAAGGGCAAAAATGGAATTTGTGATGTTGTGTTTGATCACGTAAGGATGCGGTAGCTTTTAATTAGATTAGTAGTAGGTGTAGTAAATATAAAATTGAGTGGAATGCTTGGTTAATTAGCTCCTTTGTGTAGAGCTCTACCTCCTTTGTACGTAGTTTTGTGCCCAGCCAACATCTGGCTTGGTTATTTATGTTTTCTAAAAAAAAGAAAACAATATCACATTATAATTGCAGGGCGTTCTAGACATTGGGATGGATGTGGCAGTAAAGAGACTATCAAAATCATCTGGACAAGGTTCACAAGAGTTCATAAATAAAGCCATTTTAATGCCAAAGCTTCAACATCGAATTCTTGTGAGGCTTTTAGGGTTTTGCCTCGATTCGGACGAAAAATTACTCATCTATGAATACGTATCCAACAAAAGCCTCGAATACTTTCTCTTCAATAAGCCAAAACACCAAATCTGATTTATTTTTAACCTTTTTTGTATGAATTTGTTACAATCTCCGATGTTTTTTTAATACAGATCCAAACAGACATGGGCAATTAGATTGGCCGAAACGATATAAAATCATAGGGGAGGGATTACTAGAGGAATTCTTTATTTACATGAAGATTCAAGATTAAAAATCACTCATCGTGATCTGAAGGTTAGCAATATTTTGCTCGATTTTGATATGAACCCTACGATTTTTGACTATATGTGTGATCCCTTCAACCTTATTGTAGATTCCAACATTGAAGTTTTTGTATGAGTCAATCCTTCATTTACACTACCACTGGCGGCGAACTATTGCAGAAAGAAGATTAGATGAAAGTAAAATATTATACTAGAGAATAAAATGAGAATACCTTGCTTTTTCTTACATCTAGCTCAAATTAGAGGCCTAATGAAAGAAATATCAATATAATTTCATTTAGTTGTCTAACATAACATCTTATTTTCATTTCTTATTCCTATTTTTTTAAATTTTTTTATTAAACCCTTATGCTTTGAAAGTATGATGCTATTGTGGATAAAACTTTATCGGTAATTAAAACTCAAAAGTAAAGTATATTGCTATTATTTGTACATTCCCCTAAGTGAGTTGTTTGATTGTGAACCAGGCACCATAGTTAAAGTATCATCAACCAACAATGAAGTTGCCCATGATCCTTATGGAAGGAAAGCTAAACATATCACCAACCTACAATGAAGTTTCCTGGGATCGGGATCCGTAAAACTGGAGAATTCACATTAGTTGAGGATGTATATAAAAGTTTTGTTCCATGGCCAAAATACCTTGTGCAAACCGAGTCAAAGCTTTGTTTAATTATGTTCACTACTTTGTGCATTACACTTTATTTTCTTCATAAAATAGTATACTAAGTTTTTGATGAACTCATTTTTTTGTTTCAATGTTGTTATAGGTACCAGAAATTATATCACATCAAGAACATCAACATCAAAACTCAAAGAAAAGAAAACCAACTTACATATAATCTGATGCTCTTCTCAAGAAGACAAGGAGCAATACAAATAAGATGAATGCCTAGTTATGTTTAGGTTTTGGTTTATGATGTGTTTGACTTTTTTACCATTATTTAAATTCTTGAAATTAGGACAATTTTTTTTTGGTATTTTAATTAGGAATTTAATGTATGGATTTGGATTTCAATTATTACTAATATCAAATTATGAATTTTGCTTTGTTTCATATTGTTGGGTTTGGTTACTTTAATTTAAAATTTTTAGATGTGTCTACAATGTAGAAAAAGTAACAATAAATATTAAATTAAAGTGGCTTTAATATAAATTTGGTCATGTTTTATAGGTTTTCAATGTCTCTAAAATTATACAATGGTTACTTTACATCATTTTTTAACGTGTGGCTAAATGGTTAACAATAGCCATAATATACAAGAATTATGAGTCTACAGTTGTTTTAAAATGATGTTTATTCTAAAGTTTTTGTGACTAAGTTAAACAATAACAACATAAAAAACAATTTATGTGGCAAATAAATACCATAATTGATTGTTGTTGAGACTAAATACTAGCAAATCGTCACTTACATCATTAATTATATATGTCCATTTACCGAACATGGACATGTTCACCGTAATTATATGTGTCTAAAATATACCCAATAGTCTTGATACGATACCGAATGGTACTTAATTTTAACAAAATATGTGTCTTTATAATACTTATGATTGTATTTCACTTAATTGTGTGTCTCTATACGATAGGCTATAGTCACAAAAATTGATTATTGTTTGTGACTAATTATTAGCAATTTGCCACTTATGGAATTAATTACATGTGACCATTTAGCAAACATGGTCATGCTCACCGGAATTACATGTTTACAAAAGATACACAATAGTCTTAATAAAATGTAAACTGTGTGACAATATAAAAGAAAACAATTATACTAAAACATCATGAATGTCGAAAGTTGGTGATATACAGTCACCACATTTACTAAATAAATGTGTCTACTGACGATTTAACGCTACAATATTGGATATTTAAGGAACAAAATTTCATACACATTTGCCACACTTTTATAATACGGCCACATGTTTTCATATCATATGGACACTACATTTTAAAGTGACCATAAGACCCATACGATGGCCTCACCTTCCGTCACACTTTCAGTGAAAAAATAAAATGTCACTATACGCATATGGTCACACTTTTTTGGTGTGACTATAAGTCATTTTTCTTGTAGTGGAATTCTTTTTTAGTTAAGGGAATATTTCAATCTTGTCACATTTTAACATTAAAAAGTAACCTTTTTTCATAGGAGTTGATGCTGATGTTGTAGCTCTCGCTAAAACCCTCAATAAAATCATCATCCTAGCAGATGCTAAAGACAAGAAATTGTGTAGGTTTGTGTTCTTTAAAATTGTTCATAAACTTGGTATACGTGGTGACGACACTCCGGATGATGAGTTTACTCCACTATGTCGCATTCCACACCAGGCTTCATCAAATAGAAAGTAAGGAGAACGTACCAACACTAAACAGGAAATTTGAGGTGATCCTATTTCTGGGAAAATTCTCTAGATATATATACAAGAGGCAACTAATCCAAACACCATACTTTTACCATTCCACTCCACTTTTTCGTTTTTCTTTAATGTGAATAATAAACTTAGTTATGATCCATTTTCTCAGTCTTATAGGAATATCTCATAATTAAACTTGATGCCAACGAGCTTTCATATGAAGAATATATTATGAATGAGTTTTCATTTGTTCGCTTATCAAGCATGTCAAGTTGTTTCCGGTTCATAACCATCTCTCTCTATCACACGCACTAACACACATACACAAGGTTGGTAGTCAGCTCAAGTGGTCTATCTACTGAGCTTGAGACAGCTCTAGTGAGCTTAGGACAACTCTAGTAAGCTTGAGTCAGCCCAACCTAGTGACTTAAGTTTCTGGCTCAGCTGTTTTGTCCCAAAGTTAAAAGCCCATCCTTATTTGTTACGTACTTCTCAGTGAAGAGAGGTAGGGTTAGATTGTATGAGAAGAACTTCACGTATTGTAAAGGGAAAAGTGAGGTGAATTGCTTAACCTAATACAAAAGACTCTCTCTTCTGGTGTGGATGTAGGCAAATTTGTTGAACCATATCAATGTATTGTTTCTTTCTCTATTTACTTTCATTGCTTGGTTGTTGTCATTGTTTGATTTTGGGTCTAAAGGGAAAAAATGGGAATCTAAGTTACACAGGGTTAGTTGTTGTTTTTCTTTTTATTTATGTATTGTTTTTTATAGAACAGCAATTAGTATTAGAGCTTAATATCAAATTCGGGCGGTAGAGCTCAGATTTGAGGTATTTAGGTGGTATTTTGTGTTCTACACATAAGGTGTTTGATAAAAGTCATGAGAGAGGCAGATTCTAAAACAAACGGGTAAATGACATAAACTGGCGAAACGGTTAAAGTTGGGAAGTACAAATTAGAGAAGTTTAACGGGATGAATGTTTTTTCTTATTGGAGGATGCAAATGAAAAATTTACTAATCTCATTGAAGTTACATAAGGCTTTGGCGGGTAAGATAATGAAGCACAAAGATATGTCTGATGAGGATTAGGAGGAGTTAGATCTTGAAGCACGGTCATTGATCATTTTATGCGTTGATAGAGATGTTGCTTTCTTGGTAGGTAATGAGAAATCGGCAAATGCAATGTGGAAAAAGTTAGAGGCAACTTTCATGACGAAAACTCTAACAAGCAAGATCTATTTGAAGTCCAAGTTGTTTACTTGCAAAACGGATAAAGGTTCCTCAATCCGGTAACACATCACTAAATTTGATAGATGTATATCATATTAAAATGACATTGATGTGAATGTAGAAGATGAGGATCAAGCACTTTTACTACTTCTTTCGTTGCCAAAGTCTTATGAGAATCTTATATAAACATTGAAGCTTGTGGGTGACATTCTTACGATAGATGAGACTATAACGTCAATTCTAGCGGATGATCTTCGAAATACTACAACTTGTGACATGGTAGCTGATACCAGTAACAAAGACCAGGCACAAGGACTGTTTGAAAGAGGTAAAATTAATGAGAGAGGAAAATGCATGGGAGGAAAGTCTAGATCTAAATTTAGACCTCTTGTAGAAAGGCGGTGTTTCATGTGTAACGAACTTGGGCATTACAAAGAAAATAGTCCTAACAAGAGAGTAGGATGGAACAAAGACAAGAACAACAACAACAACAAAGGAAATGCACAAGTGAAGCAAGAAGCTAGTTACGCCTCAGAGAAGGAAGCAACGATGACTGTTACTTTGTCACTTATGATGAAGAAATCTATGGTAAATGGATTCTTGATTCAGGTTGCTCATACCATATGTACCAAAATAAAAGTGGGTTACCAACTGTAAAAGCATATATGGTGCTAATGGGAAATAACCATTCCTACAAAATGGTTGAGCTTGGTTCTATTATAATCAAAATGCATGCTGGAGTGGTCAAAAATTTGTTGGATGTGAGACATGTTCCAGAGTTACGAATGAATCTCATCTCTGAATGTATACTGGACTCCGATGGGTGTAAGACAGTTACATGGGAAGGATTAAAGAAGGTCGTTTGTGGTTCTTTGGTTGTAATGAAAGGTTTTCGTCAAGGAAACCTTTATGTTCTTTTGGGTACAACAGTGATAGATGGTGCAGTAGTTGGAACAAATGGTAGTGGCGGTAACCCATGTGAAAGCACTCGGTTAAGGCATAGATGGCTTGGGCATATGTCTGAAAAGGCTCTTGATCTGGTTGGTAAAGAAGGTTTGTTGAAAATTTTGAAGAAGCCTTGCATGGATTTTTCTGAGCATTATGTTTATGGTAAAGCACACCGGGTTTGGTTCAAGTCAAGCAAACATAAAAGCAGATGAATTTTAGACTATGCGCATACAGATGTTTGGGGTCCTTCTTCAGTCATTTCCAAGGGATGTTCCAAATACTTTGTCACTTATGTGGATTATCATTCTAGGTATGTATGGATTTATTTTCTAAAACACAAGAATGAGGTATTTGACGCGTTCAAGAAATGGAACGTAATGGTTGAGAACAGAACATGCAAGAAACTGAAGACACTCTGATCTAATAACGACACTAAGTATACAAAAGGTGCCTTCAAGGAAGTCTATGATCATGAAGGAATTGCTAGAAATTAGACAGTCAGGGAAACACCACAGCATAATGGGGTTGCAAAGAGACAAAATTGCACATTGCGAGAGAGATCAATGTATATGTGATCATATGCTGGTTTGGGCAGAGAATGGTGGGCAGAGTCGGTTACTATATTATCAATCGATCTCCTCATGTGTCTCTAAATGGAGATGTACCCTATAGGGTATCGTCAGGGGAACATGCAGATTATGACAAACTCATAATCTTCGGGTGCACAACTTATTATCATGTTAGTGAGGGAAAGCTTGAAGCAAGAGCCATGAAGGCAATTTTCTTGGGATATGCATCAGGTGTGAAAGGCTATAGTCTTTGGTGTTTGAAATATTGCAAGTTTATAATAAGCATAGATGTTTCTTTTGATGAGAACTCCAATGTAGCTTCTTCGAAAGCTATGGTCCCAAATAGTGATCATATTTTATTAGATACCATTCACACCATGCATGCATTCTTAAAGCAGAAGGTTGATGAAGCTGTAAAATCAAAATGATCTACTAATCTATGAATCCTTTGCTAAAATTCATGATATACGACAAAGAATTCAATACAGTTGCAGCGGTTTGGGGATTGGTTGGTACAAGTAATTTCAGCTTCTCGGTAATTATTAGAGATTTTGTTATGTGCTACCCCAAATCTATATTTTGATAATTATTTGTTTATATATAACTTATTTTTAACATATGGGAAATTGTATTATTTTGTTTTGTGGGTGGTGGGTCTGCGGAATCAGCTGGTATTTAGTAAGAGAGAGGCTACGTGAAGTATGCCCATTGTGCATCCTGCCAATGCCAGAAATGTACTACTACTAGCCAGAGTTTCATGGAAAGGCCTCGTACATGGTATCACCCTCTTACATCATATTCGTCTTTAACACTACAAAAATTATGGAATGCAGAAAACCATTGATAAAACATGAAACTGTGATGGCTACACAATGTCACTGAATATGTTGATATTGGTAGCTTGATAGCCATGTATATCGTTAGACTTAAGTTTAAAATAACAAATTTGCAGGAACTTTGTGCAAGAATTAATATGTATAGGAAAATTATTTTAACTCAAGAACTAATAATCTTTATTAACTACTTAATTTTGACAGAGATAATCCACACATATACATATACACATACAACCAACCGACAAAAATCTTCTGAACATTGCAACTACGAATACATTCTTCAAGATTGGCAATTACGGATGACTAGCCTAACTAAAAAAATTAATAGCCATAATTACTCATGTATAACTAACAGAATGACTACCTTTTGAAATGACCAAATTAACCTTAATTCAAGCTTACATTTCAACATATGTTTTGCTCTTAAAAAATAACATATCAAAAAAGTGCCCAGGCTAAAAAATGTCACTTAAAGTGCTTAGAGTGGCATATTGTAGCTATGTACGTTGTAATGTTTTAAATTATGACAAAGAATATATAGTACAGGCTGAACATTGCTTCGATGGTTTAGCTTTTGCAAAATGCAACCTGATTCTGAAACAATAAGTAAAATTACATATATACCCTTATGTTTGGTTATTTTTTATGAAAATTAGTGTGAAATCTCTTTTGTTTGCTTGGAACAATAGGTGATTCTGATGGCGGTGGCAGAGACCGGTCAGATTAAGCTTTTTTGTGAAGATCGAAGTTTGGCTGAGACACCTCTTTATAAGTATAAACGTAGCAAGCCTTTGTATAAAGAAGAATCATATCAATTATAATTGAATTCTTCTTAAAATCTATTATATTATTAATTTGTTTAATTTGTTTGACTGATATTCATCTGTGAGTGAATATATAAGTGAAAATTTGTTTGGTTTTTTTTTTTTTTTTTTGTATTTCTACACGCATCATTCTTATTATGCATCAACCATCATTTCCGACAAACCATACTATATTATTTTATCGGTTCCTGACAAATACAAAATGCGTGATAACACAATGTATGTTGCCCAGGTGGGCAGAACCCACGACAATCTGAATCCCCTTCACATCCGCGATACTTGATAGCTGTGCGTCGAGCTCTTCCATCATGAATGACACTTGTTTTCGCCGATTTATCAACCATGACTCCTAGTGCTGCAATAATACACAAAAACTAATATTATTAACTATTTTGCATTCTTCATAAGTTAAGGAAACTTGCAATGAGCATAATAACAAGAGTGAAAAGAGGAGATTAACCGCAAGTATTAAGCACTAATATGGTCAAGAAAACAAATTTGAGCACAACTGTTGTCATTGACTCCTTGAATTTGGTTGGGTAACTAATCACGTACTAAGCACCGATATTGTCAAGAAAGTAGACTA